GACTGCCATCCACGGGGCTGCTCCGTGCCAGTCAGCAGTGGGTTCCGGGGACCCCGGAGGCCAGGGGCCAGGAGCCAGTGCGGCCTGCCCCCATGGCGCCCTGGTCTCCCCTCTGCAGAGGCGGAAGAGCCCCCAGGGCTGCAGCAGGGTTTCCAGTCGGAATCCCCACCGGCCTGGCTGCTGAGCTCGGCCCCTCGCCCCCGACTCACGCCGCGCCGGCCCAGCCGAGGACTGCGGGCAGACTCAGCCAAGGCCCGGGCTTGGATCCGTCGCCCACCTGGTGTGGGGACTTCGGCCTCAGTCGCACTGGCAAGCCCTTCTCTGAGGAAAGGAAGACAGAAACCCGGATCGCAGTGCTTGCTGGCCTCTGGCACAAAGCCTCCCCATGGCCAATCCCAAGCTACAGCTGGGAAGTCAGAAAATATGCGCTGCTGTCCTTCCATGTTGCCTCGGATTCTAGCTACTCTTGGGATGGTGGGGTTAGCGTGTGTCTCCCTCTCAGGAAAGCAGAGCTCAGCAGTGCCTAGCACGGTGCCTGGCCTGCAGTTAGGAGTGCTTTAGGTACCTATTGAATGTTGGAAGGAGGAGGGGCCACATGAGTCAGGCAGCTGTTCTGCTTTACTCCCAGCAATGCCTCTGTGTATCCAGACCCCCCACCAATATAACAGGCCCCCTCCCCAGCTGGATAACGGAAGGAAATTAGATAGAAAGCAGACCCCAGAAAGAACTGCGTGCTGGCTGTCATCGTGTGACGACACATGCACAGACTGTGTGGTTATCTTGGGAGGCAGAGTCGGGCCTGTGCAGGGCCTGGCCTCAGCCACCTGCCAAGCACAGGGGTGGACCCCTCCGAGTCCTGGGCGGGGCAGCCCCACTGCCCCAAGCTCGGCTGGCTGGGTTCGTGACCTCAGCCGCCCGCTGTGAGTTTGCGCTGTGAGTTTCCTGACCTGTGCCTGGGAGGTGGAAGAGCTGGTTGGGGTGAGTCGTATTAATTTCTTTTTCTGGACGCGGAGAGGAGACAGGCCAGCCCTTGGTGTAGGGGGCAGCCCCTCAGATCCTCCTCCCCGCAGGTCCCCCCATTTTCACTTGAGATCAGAGCTGAGAGGTCGAGTGACTGCCCAGGGACAAGGGCCTGGTTCCTGAGACCCTAACCCTAACCCGGTGCCCCAGGGCCTCTGTGGATGGTTAATCCTAGGGATACAGCGTCCCGTCCAGTCACCCCTGCTTTAACTCATTCTCTGTCCTTTGGCAAATCACCTCTCCCTGAGCCCCGATCTTCTGAACCACAGAGCTAAGAGAGTTTGTAACAGTCAGCGTGAGCCCTGCTGGTGGCTGTAACAAACAGCCCCTCGTGCAGGGTGGAGGCAGCGTTTCCTCCTTGCTGGGCCGCAGTGCACTGTGGGTCATGAGTGGGGGCTCCATGCACACGTGGGGCTCCCCTGGGCCCCAGCGTCCTCCCTGGCTCCCTAGCGGGGACAGGCAGGTAGAGAAGGCAGTCCTGACACCTCGGCCACGCTCAGCTCGCTTCCGTCCTGGTGCAGTGGGCAAGTTCCAGCCGTGGGGCCCAGGAGGAGAGAGGAGGCCAGAACACGGGCCCAGCGGGTGCCGAGAGAGAGGACCCCTGCCCCAGACTGGCCCGGGCCTTCTGCATCCCACCTCCCTGGCCAGGCCGCCACTCCTTGCCCTCCCCGCCAAGCTCCCTGGGTGGGTGGCTGAGAGATGATCGCTCCATGCTCTTGCCTCTTGGAAGGCAGGCGCTGGAGGAAAACCAAGTCCGCTCCAAAGTCTCTCCCCATTCTTCACACTCGCTCCCGGGATAAATATAGCGCCCGCTCCCCACGGTGGTGCCCAGGATGCGGCTTCGAAATCCGAGCAGTGTCACAGCCTCAGGCAGGGCGTGGAGGCCCAAAGCAGACCAGGCTGAGCGGGATGTGGGGTTTGTGCTTGACACAGAGGCCGGGCATGGAGGTGGCCACCCGAGCGCCGCAGACCTCTTGAAAGCTGCTGCAAGGCTTCCTGGCAGAATCGGATCTTGAACGTCATCATCTTTCCTCTTTTTGCTTTTCCTGTGGTCCTGGGCCTGGATCCCAGGGCTTCAGGCATGCTAGGTAGGCAAAGGCTCCGCCAGGGAGCTACACACCCAGGCCTTCTTTTATTTTTGCTTTGAGACAGAGCCTTAGTTGCCTGGGCTGGCCTCAAATTCGCATCTTCCTCCCTCAGCCTCCCAAGTACCTGAGAGTCCAGGTGCACACCCCACGCCCAGCCAGGGCCTTGCCCTCTTCACAGGGGTGAGACCCTGCCAGGGGTCTGTCCACCCATCCTCCTGCTGATGCAGCCAGCGGCCCTGTCCTGCCTCGATCCAACAGCTTTCTCCTGCTGCCCCCCAGACCTGACTGTGGGAGCAAGACGGCCTCGCCCTCTCCCTGTCCCTGACCTCCACCCCTCCTTCTTCTGGAAGGCAGCACCTGCCTGGGCCTGGCTCCCAGGAGCCTCTTCCTCCCCAGGTGGTTAGCAGCCTCACCTGGGCAGCAGGCGCCTCTGGGGCACACAGCCCGGCAGGGCACAGGTAGGGACACTCCTGTCCCCTTCCCGCCCAGTGGAGCTCTCCAGGCTGGACTCCCCAGTGCCCTGGGGCAGGCGCGGGGTGACAGGACGGGGCACCATTCAGAGATGGATGCCCAGGGATGGAGGAAACCAACCTGGCTGGGAAAGTCCCTGAGGCTGGTGACGCATGGATGCTGCGAATCAGGGCCAGGGCAGTGGAAAAGCTCCCAGAACTAGAGAAAGCTGAGGGGGCAGGACAAGGCTGCCCCACAGGCTGTGGCCTCGGGTGGGGAGCTAAGCCATGGCAGAAGCTGGGCAGCCTGAACGCCCCAGCCACCAGGTGCTGCTGCCCACTGGCCTCATGGTGGCACTTCCTGTTGGTGGGACACACACAC